GTTCTGTAGCCCCATGATAGAAGGCCACCAAATTGGTCAGGCAGGATTTCCCCTTAGTGAAGCCATGCTGGCTGTCACCAAGCACCTTGTTGATTTTCATGTGCCTCAGCATGCCTTCCAGGAGAATCTGCTCCAAGATTTTGCCAGGCACAGAGGTGACACTGACTGGTCTGTAGTTCCCTGGATTATCCATTTTCCCCTTCTTGAAAATGGGGGTTATATTTCCCTTTTTCCAGTCGCCAGGAACTTCACCTGACTGCCATGATTTTTCAAATATGATGGACAAACATAAAAAAAAGTAGGGAAGGCAAAGGAGTAATATGGAAAATTCTGAGAGGAAGGATCACACTGCAGCCCATAATCACAACCCCTTAGATGAAGCATGCTTAGACTTGAAAAGTAATTCAGATAGAAAGATCCCTGTGGACCTCTCCCTTCCACCTCCCTGAGTTCTGATAATGTTCTGGGAGGTGTCACACTTTCTGCTGAGCTGTTTAAAGCAAACATAGGAGCTAGAGAGGTCACCTACTAATGGGGATGCCACCTTACTGGGCTTCTCTAATTGCAACCAGCAGTCAGCTCACTGCCATCTTTCTAAGTCTCTGGCTGCAACCGGCAGGGAAAATAAAACAGCAGCCACTGAGAGTCAAAGAGCTGTGTGCAATCTGGATTGTGCATTTAGGCAGTGTTTATTTTTAAAAGCTATTATCTACCAGCTGCTCATAAACTCTGTTATGCCCTGCAAGAATCTTTGTACTGTGTAATTGCCTTGCCTCTCTCTAAATGCATAGTCCGCTGGTTTGAATTAGCTGCTAGCTCGTAGTGATTATGGTCATCATTCATCTAGAACAGTTCAAATCAGATTTAGAATTCCTGACATCACCTATGTACAAGTAGTGTCTGTACAGCAGAGGCACGCTGTCCTCAACAAAGGCCAAACCTGCTTTTTGGTTTCCTATGTTGTCTTACAAAGTGTAGAACATGTATAGTTTATGCAGGAAAGCCTTTCCCTCCTCTTCCACTGCAGGTAACGTGTATTGTAGTTAGTGTTGTTTGAGACCTTAATTATTGTTCTAAAAACTGTGCACATGCGCAAGTGCATGTTTAACCCACAGGTTCTGTTTAATCCAGCGCATTTACAGAGAGTGTTTGTTGCATCTGTAATGTCTGTGGACATCTTCTTCTAACATCTGTGACATATTATTTAATGTTTCTTCTGGCTCTCCAGTAAACAGAAACCATATGAAGGTTCAGTCTTGGTGCTCTCTTGAATTTACCTATGCTGGCCCTCATGTTAAGGTTGGAGGGCTACCAAGAAGGAGTGGGATAAAATAAAGTGTGGATGTACCTTGTATATAGAAGATTTCAAAGATTCCCTCATTTAAACAGTGACAGGCATAGCTGATGTTTTGATAAGATGCTGTGCATTGGTAGAACAACAGAAATATGCAAGAAATGTTGGCAAACCTGGACACAAGTTTGACTTTCTTAGCATATAGGTGGGAAAATTTTATTATTATTATTCTGTTTCTTAATTTGTTGGCTATGTCCTGATAATTTGAACACCAAATGATTCAGCAACACCAGGGAAAGATCTTTTCCAAAATACATGTTCTCTGATTATGCAGCAAAGCTGCATCAATGTTGCTGAGTTGATGGCACCAGTTTCCACTACAGAGAAAGGATCTATTTGTAGAACATCTCAAACTTTTCAGAAATGCTACCCATAATGAAAAGTTGTCTTCTGGAAGACCTGCGTAGTAAGGAAAGCTTCTGGACTGCATTTTCATTTGTACCAGTCTCAGTATCAATAGCATTTGCCATTACGGATAGAGTTATGGCCCAGTTTTTGTACTGAGATAACATGAACCACAATTACTAACTAAATCTTCATATGTGAAGTAGGCAAAGAAATCCTATCACCGGGATACTGTCAGCAGGTGAGTTTACCACTTCTTGGGGAGTTAAGGCTGGATTGGGTCAGCCTTAAATCCTCCTTCTGTCTCAGTGCTCCCTGTAACAACTGTAGGCATACTGTTAATGATTTTCAGTGCCAACATTACAAAGATAAGAAGGCTGGTCATGCTAGAAAGATGATTTTAACAATCTATGCATGGCAATGAGTAAGAAGCTCAGAGAATTCCAGTCATCAGCAGGGTAGGCAGGAGAAAAGAGGGAGAGAGTGGATACTAATACAATAGTACAGATGATGGATTTGGATGGATAAAAGTTATCTTTAAAGGCTTTAGGAGTATGTTTTTTAACACTCGTCAGCACTCAAAGCCACTTGAATATCTTTTCTAAAAGCCTGCTTATTTTAAGACTGCATTTGAAAGGTTTTTAATACCTTTCCAGGAGTAAACTGAAAATAGGGTATCTCTCTTAAAGTATCCAAAGAATAAAGCCTTTCCACATGTGTAATAATAATGTTGAAGGTCCTTGCTGAACAAAATTATGTTAGCTAGTGTCTGCAAAGCAAAAATCAAAGTAAGGACCATGTTTTTCCTTTAAGTGATACGACTGAGTCTTATCAGTCAGTCAAGTTTAGCTTGATTATTTCTGGAGAAAGATTTTCCACTGTCAAAAAAAACAAAAAGCTGGATGCCCAGTTTCCCCTCTTGTTTGCCTTGCTGCAGTCTACTCATATAATTAGAGAGGCTGATTTCCGATTTGTGCAATGAATTTGTTCAGAGCAAAATGACAGCAGCGGAGGTTTAAAGTTCCAGCTATGAAATTCCTCATTTTTGCTGGTTTATATCAGAGCCAAGAACATACATCCTGCAGCTTTTTATGATTTACAAGAGTGATATTCACCTTCCGCAGAAGTACGTCTGTTTACAAGGCTGGGTTTACTCAGGTAATTCAAACAAGGCAAGTGTGGTTTTCCATCCAAAACCGTTCTCCCAGGAAGCAGAAGCAACCCCACCTGACCAAGCTAAGTCAGCACTCACAAGTACTCTTATCAGCAAAATGTTGTCATACAGCCTCAATCAGAGAATAGGCAGCCATACAGTATTGTAATAAAAAATGTATTTGGCACTTCCTCGACTATTCACTGTTTTATTGAATGCCACACTCCTCTGAATGACGGCGGCAAATTCCAGGGGACAATCCGGCCCACTCTCCCTGCAAGACTGGAATTTTAATGGTTCCGATAAGAGACGGCCATTCCTCATCAGATATTGTGGTGTTTATTTTAGCTTTTTGCCTCTTTTATGGCAACTGTGTCTGCACACTGGCCTTCGGTATCAACTGATGACAGTCAGTCCTTTCAGAAGCCTCACCAAGGCACTTGAACCATCCATTACGCGTGGTAGCATGAGATAAATTTATCAGAAACATTTGCACAATTCAGCAAAGGAAGTGGTGCACTCTGCATGTTTTCTGTGGGCTTGGGTTGGAGCATGGAGAGCACCAAATGACAGAAAGATTTGGTTTTCAAAAACAGACTGTTCCCTCAGTCAAGTTTGCTTCAAGTTTCATCAGTGCCAAGTGAGTCTACTGTCAATCTGGTGCCTCTGCCTGGACGTGTGAATGAAATGAGTGAAAGACCCAGTCATGCTTAACATTGTTTTACATTTCTTGGGTTTTTTGACTTCCTAGGATTTAAACTCCAACAGGTTAATGCGGTCAGCTAAGCTGATGTTTCACTTGCAGCCCAGTTCAGGACATTAAGGCATAAAGAACAATATGTACAGATCCTTATTTTTACAAGCATTGATCATCTGATCAAAAATCATACTATTTGCAACTTTTACAATTTCCAGCTGAAGAGCTGAACTGTCACATATCAATGTAAGTGTTCTTCTTTCCTAAACAGATGCTCGTTACAGTCTACTTTTCAAATCAGTTTTCCCTTACTCTTTAAAGTAGAAAGAGAAATACTGTAACAGGCAACTGCAGGGTATGCTGATGGGTTTGTCATGAATTTCCTTCAATGTATCTATCAGTTCTTCCCCAAACTATTGGCTACAGCTTCAGCAGTCAGACCACATATCAGTTAAACACAGTGTTTTGAAGCAGATATATACCTTAGATAAAAATATGTACGTACTCTTGATTTTTGTGGTACAATTTCTATGTCTGAATCTAGAACAAAGGTGGAGCAAATGCCCGTGACAGATAACTTACTTGTTGGGAAAAGCCTTCTCCCAAGCTGCCAGTGAGAACTGATCTTGTGTTTCTTGGTGGATGGTATCTTATTGTGCTGGGGTTGTTCTTTTCTGCACATAAATCAGAACCTGCTCAGAACAGTAAATGACCCCTTTTTAAAATGTCACTGTGCTGAAACAAATGCAAGCTTCCCATAGCCCCCGTGGGATTTTCTTGAAGTCCAGAAGCAGGCTCATGGCCAAGATGTAGGATGCAAAAATGGGGCTCAGCTGTGTTCTAGCTAGATATTGTCAGAGGTGAGGTATTTTGCCTCAGGGAGCCTCCATGTGGCTTGTCTTTAGACCTTTGAAAGGTTATGGTGATATATCCCTCTGGGACTCCTACAGAGCTGCATGGTTTTAGCTCTGGCAGAGTCAAAGTGCCTGGCTTGGCTGAAAGTCACCTTCACCCATGGCTACTGAGAGCCCTCCATGACCACCACAGGTTGGAACAGCCTCCCACTGACCCTTACCCTGGCAGCTGAACCTTGAGGAGAGTGCACTCAGGGCCCCAAGAGCCAGAGATTTAGATGGCCTTGAAATTAATAGCAGTCATATTACTGAACCCTCAGGAAAATTCTTGAGAGCAGGACCGGCGGTTTGACGTGTCCTTTCCATTGGCTTTCAATTGCAGTTCATGTCCTAGCTGTTGCTTATGCTTTCAGAAAGTTCAGCCTTATGAAGGCTGTAATTTCCCAATGACCCTAAGCAAACACAGAACTTGTGCAAACACCCACATTTCTGTGGTCCCCTGGAAATCCTCTGTTTGTTTTGCTAACATTTTTTGTGATAATTCATGTTTTCCGAACATGGATTCTTAAGAAAAACATAGTCTGCTTGATTTTCCAGGTGGATTTAAGCATTCAGTACGTGAGCCATGAACTCTGGAGAGCACTCCCCTAAGGTCAGCAGCACTGGGTAAGGCTCTGAGGAGCACAGTGTGGGATGCACCTCAGGTTAATGGCTTGCAATTGCATGCAGCCTTTCCTAAAGCTGTGTGTGTAGTTAATGTGTATCAGAACTCAGCAGGACTATTCAAATTACCTCAATTTCCCAGTGATTTATGATATATGTTTCTGAAGTTATTTATCTGTCTGCCTAGTGTTGCTGGCCAAAGCAAAGAGGGGAGACACAGATGCTGTAATCCATTTGAGCAAAGGGTCAGATGTTTTCAGAGACAGTACAAGTTGGATAGAAGAGTACTAAAGGACTTTAAAGTCAGAAAACTAGCAGAGAAAACTAGCCCAGCCCAGAGTCAAAGAAACTGAAAGCCTTTCCTCATTCCCTTTCTACAGTGAATCATTTCCTGACTCTGGAAGATGGATTTTGTTCATATAATTAGTTTTCCAGGGTGTATTTTATATTGTAGGCTGGAAGTTTTTTATGATATGGCACTTACGATTTTCCATAATGCTGAAAAGTTAGGTTTCTTTAGTGGAGAAAACCCACCTCAGATACAGCAGTTACAATAAATGGGCCAAATTCTGTTCTCAGTTACAGCTATTCAACCCTCGTCCTCAGTGCATGCAATAACTCAGCTTAGTAAAGGTAGTGAATTAAAGACCTGGGGTTCCAAAATCCACCCTGAGATGCATGTGTGTGGCTAGGACTGAAATCAATGGGAGTCCCATGTGTACGTCCAGGGTAGGCTTTGGCTCGTGGTTTTTATTGTTTGCGCCAGTGGATAAAGTTGATTCCAGCATTATGTTTCTCAGTCAGAGTTATTTCTACATCATCATGCATCAAAATGTTGGCCTCAACCTCTTCTTCTTGGTGGTAGCTTTGAGGAGTATTTGTTTTCTGGTTAGTTTGGGCCCAGAACCGATCATTCTCAGGCTTCCCCTAACCTCTTTTATTATTTTACTGATGGCAGATTTAGCTGTTGGCTTACCTTTATTTCCAAAACAGATGAATTTTATCCATCTCTAATATTAACCAGATCCAACTAGTTGACAGAGTTAAACCATTGTGGGCCAGACGCTCAGCTGGTGAACTGCAACCCCATTGATTTGGGCACCCTGTCTGGGAGAGTCTGACAGGGGGCCCAGGAACAAGGGGGAGGACGGGACAGGGGGGACTACACCGAGGCAACAGGAACAAGGCGAGCCCCAGATCACAAGCGTAGCAATGTAGATCTGAAGGTCAGCTTGCTGGGCTCCTTCAGGTGCTCTGAATTACAACAGGGAGTCCTATTAAATCTGCTGCTTTGTAACCACAAGGGAAGTAATCCTTTAGGATGTACGCTTTTCTTGCAGTTTCTTGGAGCTCAGGACTTAGAGAGAAATGTATTCACAGAATGGTTTGGGTCGGAAGGGACCTTTAAAAGTCATCTAGTCCAAGTTCCCTGCAATGAGCAGGGGCATTTTCAACCAGATCAGGTTGCTCAAAGCCCCGTGTTTTTTTATGTTGGTAGTAGAATGATTCTGAATGAGACAGTAAAAGCTTTGGCAAAGATCTAGGAACAGGAATGAAAAGGGTAAGTGGTGAGGAGAGGAATTTCATATTGGCACCATGAAGGCATGTGGACATTCTGCAGAAGAGGCTGAAAGATCTGAACATTTAAGGGTCACAGGAGGGCTCAAGGTAGAGGGGACTCCAGAAAGTCTCTGTGTAGGAACCTCCTGCTCAAAGCAGGGTCAGCTATTATCTTGATATTTGGGAAAAATAAAGCAACAGTAACTGGAAATATTACCTACTAAATTTTAGTTTTAAACATGACTTCTCTCACAGCTCATATAGCCTTTAAAAGAAAGTCTAGTCCTCAATCTCGCGGGTTTATCTGTACTTTTGCTTCTAGCAGTTGCTTCTAGAACAATTTGCAATAGAATTGTAAGTTCTTTACCAGGTGAAAATTTGGCATCAGGTGCTGAGTGCAGTTCACCAGTGTTTCATGGCTGAGAGCTGTTAGTACTGACAACAGGCTTCAAATTTAACAGCAAACTGGCATTGGTCCTCGTACACTTTGTGTGCCTGTTACCTCCACTTAGGAAGCCTATGAAAAGACAGAAGGATTAATTTGTCCTGGAGTGCAGGGTCTGCAAATTGCAGAGGCAGTGACAGTTGCTGCAGCCATCCACAGCAGTCACTTTGCTATCGCTTTTCCATTTTCCTTGATGTTTACTGGTAGCAAAAATATTGCAATGTGGAGATCAATTCCTGCAGAATAAATCGCAAGCACATCTGTGGAGAATGGTTTCTCTCAGAGTGGCCTTGGCTGTAGTGCACATGACAATTGCTGTATTTCTTGAGAAAGACAATACGCTCCCTTTATTTCCCCAGTTTATTACAGGTTCTTTGCTCTGTGTCTTGGTCTGTTCATGTAAATTCCTATGGACCTTTGTTTACAGCTTTTGAACTGAGGCTATGAGGTCACATCATGGACTTCTGGGGAGAACAAAAGGTGCTTTACATGGAAGAGCTGCGTGTTGTGTCTTCTCTGCCTTGTGAACGTGGTAGCAAGTCTCCATGACCATGCTTGGCATGTATGTGCCAAAATTCTGTCAGCCGCAGAGGGATCCCTTATAATACAAAGAAAAGACCTAAAAATGGTCAGGATTTCTGACACATTTTGGCTGGTCAGGGCTGTTGACTCAGTTATACGAACTTGTCCACAGAATTACTTAGAATTGTAACCTTAGCTCAAAACTGTAACTTCTCAACATGTCTTATGAAGTTCTGTTTCAAACAGTCCTGCTTGCCTGCCACATCACTTACTGTTAATGACAGACCATGGCAGGAACAGGAACTGGTCTGTGAGACATGTCAGATGCAGCAACTACCAGCATATATACGCTGTGCTGGCCAGAGGCTCAGGTTAGCACCATGTTCCCGTCAGAGTACAAACCAGAGCCATCCTTGCACTAGCTCTCCTGCTGTGCCTAATCATTTATTTAGGACACCTCCTCACTGCATATAGAATACTTACAATACTCCTAAGGGTTTTATCTATCAATGCAAAGCCCAGAAAATGTTGGGGTTTTTTTGGATGTTATCAGGTTAATGCCATGAGACTGAGCTGTTTCTGACAGAAAAAAAAAACCACAACAACCTTTCTGTTTTCTTGTGCCCGGTATTCCAGGCACTGTAGCTGCCACCATACTTGAGTGGCCAGCTTGGACATTTTAAGGTATGCTTCTGTACTTCCTTGTTCAGAACAGATCAATGGAGAGCAGTTTCACACATCATAATACCTTCATTTACCTCTAAAGAGTTAATCTAAAAACATTTAGAATTGAGCAAATGTTAATGCTAATTTACTTTAAATAAATATATAAATAATCAATAAACATGCAATAAACATGCATGAAGTAACGTCAAAAAATATTCATTAGTTGAGCAAAGATGGCATTGTCACTCAGCTAAGGCTTAGGTTGATGCCAGCATTACTCAAGCAACACAATATCGGGCATTGATTGTATCTTAGAGAATTAGGTTGCCCAAACCTTTCTCCTTATCCTCCATCAATAGGGAATGAGAGCTCATGGCTTTATAAATAATGCCAAAGGAAGTGTAATGTAACTACATTCTTTCTAACCTTGGAAATACATTGTGTGCATAAATGGATAATCAGGCCTTTTTGAAATCCCCTGGATGAGCACTGCTGTTCTCTCACTGCGTGTGCTGGACTGTCACTGCTAGACACGTAGAGAGAGGAATGAGTAACCAGTAGCACATACCATGCGTATGAGCAGATTTCCCTGCTGCGGTGTAATTCTGTCACTGTCGGGGTCCTTTCAGATCTCTTCAGAAGAATTCCAGGAAATCAAATGGATTTTAAGCCAGTAGACTGATTACACAGCCACCAAGTCATAAGGGTAAAACGCTCCATAACTGTCCTCAAGAATCCATTAAAGCCCTGCCGAAACATGATCTTCCACTGATTAAAGGGGTTTAAAAGGGGGGAGGAAGAGCTTTTTAAGTTGTAATGCACTGAATGAAAGAGATCAATAAACGAAGCATGGAGTTCTGAGAATTGCAAATGTTTTATTTCAGCTTCACTGGGAGAAACTACACCTGGGTTTTTCCCATCAGCTCCATGGGAATCAGATCAATTTTATGGGTTTGCAGGGAGGATGGAGAGGTTAGCACTGTTAATGGAAAAATACTGACAACTGTATCAAATGCTGCTGTTAATTCGAAACACTAGCAATGTCTTTCGAAGTAATGTTTCACCTTAATTGCCTTAGGGAATAATTTAGCTGTAATTGGAGAGTAGCTTAAAGTTATGTGCATTTCTGAAACTCAAGAAGGAAAAAGAACATGGCAAGGAAGAAATGCCCATCTATTGAGTCTGTAAGGAAACCATTAACTTGGCAAAAACATAGGTGAAAGTTCAGTGATTGAGCAAGCTGGCAGTGTAGGAGAATGAAGAATAGGTCAGTGAACCAGCCTGATCTTCAGAGGCAGGATTTCCACCAAAATCAATGTTGCACACAAAGGAGGCTGGCAAAGTACAGCAGAAGCATTTGTCAGAGAAGACAAAAAAGACAGATGAATGGGAGTAACAAAGAGCCCCCTAAGAAACGTTAGTGAATTGCGAGAGCTCACAAAAGACACGCAGGTTTGAATGAAGATACTGAAGGAAAGTGATCCGAAGTCATGTGTGTTCTTTTTGCAAGGTACAATCAGCCCACCAGGATGTCGGCTTTTGCTGCCCAGGAACTAGTTCCCTGCTGAAGTTTTTATTTGGTTTTGTGCCTGAGCTGGGAATCCTGCAGCAAGCCTGTTTCCCAGGGAGCTTGATGCTTCCTAACATAGCTAGGCAATATCTATGAGATTTCTGACTTGGAGTACCCAAAACCATTAGATCCTTCTGAAAAATGACTAAGTCCTTTCTCGTAAGGAAGGAAGACAAAAAAAGATAGTTAACTACTTAAAGTCACCAGTTGAGCTTAGCCTGTTTGGTAGTAGTGATGGTACCACATCAAAGGAGTTACTAGGGCAAGGGCATATTCATTTACTCAGAAAATGCAAAGGGAGGTGTCATGGTTTAATTTCTGAGGTTGCATTCAGCTATCTGGGTGCTTCTCCTACTTTTTTTCCTTAACTGCTGATGCTGATCACCCTTAATGAGCAAGACATTAATAAACTACAACAGCACTGGAAAAAAAAGCACCAGGCTTTGGAAACAGACATGCAATTTTTAACTTGAAAATATTAGTGTTAAAGGAATCAAGTTTGCCGGATGTATTTTATTATTTACACAATGTCTTTTAAAAGTGGTGTTTTCCACAAGCTCAGGAAGAATCAACAGCAATTTTACATGGAATAGCTAGAGTAATATTACTTAGGAGTTACCCTAGAGACTCTTCCAGATGAGAAACTGGTGAGGTGACATAGATTTCTTACTCTTCTGGAAAAAGACATTAGTGTACAACAGTGTCCTGCTGGGATTATTCTTCATTCAGCCTTTTGAAAGAAATAAAGGACTTCTCAACAAAGATATGCCATGTAATTTCTACTCTTCTGGGTTATTTTTAGCAATAAGTGTAAACGCTGTGCAAACAACAACCACTCTTAAATGAATAGGGCATTACATATTTTGGGTTTTTTTAATCTATAACTGGGGGGTAAATGAAGAACTCCACATTATTTTAGACTCTTCAGGTCTAAAAGCCATTGCCACAGATGACATGGTGCTGCACTTCATCAGTTACAGCATAAGGGGATGACCAGCCCAGCACTGAGGGCTCAAACCCAATGTCACAGTGTCTGTTTAGACACTTCTGTCAGGGCTGTAGACTCTTTGAAATGCTAGGAAGGAGAAGTCAGCACATCTTTCTAACTCAAAGATAAAATTAAATGACTTAATCAGCACATTAACTAAGATGTTCTTTCTTCTCCACCATTCTCAAAAGGCAGCTGGAGTAATAAGGTGAACTTGTACTGAATGCAACTGAATTCATGCACACACACAAAACCAGATGAAACGATGGGTAGGATTCCTGTTCCGTTACCCTGCCAGCTTCCATAAACTATCTCCCATTTTCTTCCAACCCAAACCTCACAAAAAGTTAAGTAAGCCTGAATTAAACAAGCCTGTGTCGAAGACACAGCAAAAGCTGGGAAAGCATGTAGTAAAATAAGCTTAATTTAAGGTTTAGCTTTAAATTTCTAAATCTCCTGACAACATTACACAATCTGAAGTAATTTCCCAGTTAGAAAAAGATGTCTTTAGTCAGATCTAAGCCAGGAACCCTGCAGATTTGGCAGCTTCTCAGGGGCCAGCAGAGAATGTCTCAGAAAGTAGTCTGAGGTATTGAAATTGTTAAATTCTTCCAACAATCCCATAGACTGGTGTGCCTTAAGATAAGTGCCAGCTTGCTTCACATATAGCGGTTGTCAAGGAGGTGAGAATTTGGCAGCTTTGTCCCATCATGTGCTACTTTTTTGCTTCCTTTGGCAGTCTAGGAGAAACCCCCTAGCAATGAGAGATTAAGATGGCATCTTAAATCTAATTGGCTTGGAAATTCTTATTAATAGCTCCAACCCAGGAACCACTCACCAGTTTGAGTGCAAAAATGAAGTGCAGAGCTTTTTTAACTTTCTCAGCCTTTCCAACAGATTTCTAATTTATTAAAATACATTAAAACCTTTGTAACCTTGGACTACTACTTAATAAGAACCATTTATGAGTCACCTAGGAATGGGAAGTGATTTGCGATTACCATGCCAGGATTCCCTGCAGCATGTGCTCTTCCAGTGGCACAGACCTTGTGTAAAGTGAATGTCTTCAAAGGAGTAGGAATGGGTGAACTGGTCACCCAGAGCCATAGACAGCAATCAGTTTTGTGATCTTTTCTAAGGTTTGGGCTTTTTTGGCGGGGGGGAAATGCTGACCTCAGACTTGGCTTGGAATCTCCTGACAGTGGTCAGAGTTGCTGTGGTAACTTTGTGCTTTCAACACATGGACCAACATGCTCTATAACAGCACATTTGTTAATCTAAAATACTGGTAGGTGACACAAATCCAGATCACAAGGGGGTGATGCCTCATTCAGCAGCACAATAAAAACTAAGGCATGGTACATGCCATTACATCACAGCCAGTAAATAAATGCACGAAAATGCAAACAAGCCTTAGACAGATGAGTACCATGGTGAGAAAAGCTGGAAGAATTGCAGCTGAAAGCCCATGTACGTCCAGGGTACTTTACAGAGTAAATACTGTCCCATGGTGTGGCATCCTGAGTGGCATGATGTTGTTCAACCCCATTTACTGTGAAGGAGTTATGCTGCCTTGCAGCAGCTGAGAACTGGAAAATGCAGACTGCCCAACAGCTACTAGAAGCAAGAAAAGAACTGGCCACATTTCCAGAAGCTGATGTGAAAAATCTATTGCTGGAAACACAGAGACCCATATGAACTAATTGAGGCAGGAACCACTTCATTCTCTGGGAGAGAATTGCTAATAATGTCCATTTCTGAGTAGGAGGAATCACCTAGGGGAGAGCTTCTCAAACCCTCACTGGTTTGGAAGATAGCAGCGGCAATGGCAGCAATAGCAAGAGTTTCAGGGCTCTGGTCCTTGCTGTGTGTAGAGGACACATCCTTCTTTTTGCTGGCCATGCCCCTTAGAGGTAGCTTGTGTCTGTCAGTTTGCAAACCTTTAGTTACAGTGCTAGTTCTACTGTACACCAGAAACAACTGCAAGATGAGCTATTCAAATACAGATCCCAAGGAGAAAAAATAGTAGCTGCACAGAGGAGGCCGTATTTCAGAGTTATTTAGTGACTTTAAGTTGCAGAGGGGTGCTTGTGGGTTTCTTATTTTCACCGTCAGTCAGTTTGATACCAAAATGAACTATCATTTGAAGTAAAACCTCTAGATCAATTCCACAGAGCAGAGAAACAGACTGATGAACCATGTCAGAGAAATATATGGATGTAGAACCTACAACTGGGCAACTGCTGTCCTCTCCATGTGGATTTGAAGCTGTAATAAATAATTGCAATGAGGGAAATGTATGCCAAATAATGTTGTGAAACAGTATCTGTGGGATTCTCAGGACTTTTTGCCATTGCCTGGGCACTATTTAAATGAACCAAAAAGCAGATGAACCAGTGTCAAAGGGCACTATATATATATGTGTGTGTGTGCATGTATATGTATGTACATACATATGTAAAACACGGGAAGTGTAAATTCTGCATGTTGAAATGGGCAAGCATAACCAAGAAATAGCAGTTTGCAGTCCACATAGATTAGAAAGGGAGTCGTGCTGGCTTGGTATTCCAGCCTTTTAAATAAATGAGAATAACATTTCTAGGCAATAGCAAGATAAAAGAATGAAAAGCATGAGGAAATGGCATACTGTGATTTAAAAATAGCCTAGCACAAGCCAAGACAGCCATGCTTAGTGTGGAGAGAGCTGTGCAGCTGTATGAGCACTAGCGCCTTACATGACCTGAAGCATGCACCGAAGCCCTCAATTTCTTCCTCTGTCCCAAATCTGTGCCTGACTAAGGATTCTTGGGAACTTTAATGTAGCTTTGCAGATGAGGATTGAGAGCCAAGCTATGTAGTTACAGAAGAGTCAAGACACATGTAACTTTAGGCTCTCTGGGCTGGAAGAGGAAGAGGGTGCAATTTCAAAGGAATCACTAGTGTGGAAAGAATATGTGGAAATTCCTAGTTCACAACTGGAGCTATGTAAAACTTGGCCCTTTGTGCTTTTCAGAGATCTGCTGTTTTCTCTTTTATGTCAGTTCATGCAGGCTTGCACCCTCTGGCTTTTCTTTTGTGTTCTGGGAATTGAATAAACCCTGGAAGTAGTGAGAATCATCTGGTCGCACAACCTAACCATGCAAAATCCCCTGACTGGCGTGGTTTTGATGTGAAATTATAAATCAGTCCAGGTTCACA